AGATGGGAGCCGGGGGACAGTGGGAAGGGAGGGGCCCCGCGCCTCATGGTTTGTGGGTCTGAGCCATCGGGTTTGGGGCCCGTCCTGGGTTCAAGCCCAGCTTGGCAGTCACCTGGGGTCTTTGTATGCATCCAGCAAGCTCAGCTGCTCTGTGGGGGTGACACAGCCACCCCCAGGGCTGGACGCTCCCCTGTGGTGTCCTGCAGCCCTGGGGCACCCCGTCTTTGCACAGCGGCTGAAGTTCTGCACTGACCTGTCCCATGGAGTGTCAGAGGTGGGGTCAGGGTCACCTGGGTCCTCCGGGTAGTGGAGGGGCCTCCCTAGCGGAGCCCTGCGTCAGGCCAGATTAGCTGGACCTTCGTCCGCCTGGCTGGGGGAAGATTACAGCCCAGGGCAGCTGAGGAGGACTCAGAGAGTCTGGGTGCGGGGCCGGGCCCATGCAGTCTGTGCCCCTCCTAGAAGCCCTGCCCGGGCATATGGGGCATCCACGTGCCCTGACTGATGGCAGGAGACGGTTGACCCACTAGTGGCTGAGAGCCCAAGGGCATGATTTGAGGATGGCAGGGGGAGGCTTTGGGAGGTGGGTGGGAGGCAAGGGCAGCCCCCCAAACTGGGGTCCGGTGCAGGGGAGGAAAGAGCAGGTGTGACCAGTGTAACCTGGGTTGGAGGAGCCGCGTGCTTTGGATAGGAAGGAATGGCCCAGAGTTGTGGAGGACTGGCTGATGGAATGGGGGGCAATGACCACAGCAGGCAAGGAGGGGTGAGTGTCACAGGGCCCAGGACACGAGGTGTGGACCATGGGGCCTTGTCCAGGCCGATCCCTCAGACCCGCCCCCGGCCCCGCTCTGGTCCTGATGCTCCCCAGCTTTCTGGTTCCCCTTTCCCCAGACCCCCTGCGCAAGCGGCGATGCTGTCAGCGGCTCCAGCAGCCCCGTCTTCCTGAGGATGCCCGGGACTCGTTCCCCTTTCCTATCCTAGAGGCTGATGGCTTCCTAGTCTAATTCCATGCAGAACCGTCTCCTGCAAGGGACCGAGTCAGTGCCTTTTTGGCAAAGGGTTCTGGCATTTGGCTTTGAGTCGATTACCTTGGATCTAGCTAGGTGGGGCCCTGGTTATCTGTGGTCAGGCCAGGATGCCCATCACTATCTCCTCACAGCCTGCAGCCTCCCACCCTTGCAAACCTTGGACTTAGCAGCTGTACCAGGCTGTTTGGCCTCTGGTGCCTCTTGTCCTCGGCTCTGTGCCCCTGGCCCCAGCTCCTCCCCTCTGTGCTGGGGAGGGAAGGGTGGCTGCCCCTGTCTCAGCACAGCCCAGAAGCGGTGGGATTTATGGCAATGAGGACAGAGGGCTTTCAAGGGCAGCCCAGCACTGCCTCAGGCTGCCCCTGACCCAGGGACCCATGCTGGCCCTGCCATGCCTGGGCAGTTGGCACAAGGTGGGCTGTGGGCTCTTGGGCCCAGTGGCAGGAGCACCCTGGGGCCCTCGGAACCAGGCCCCAGTCCTCACCACAGCTGTGACTGTGGGGTGGGGTTCTGCCCCTTGGGCCTTGTGCCACCCCTTGGCCAGGCTGGCCTGCCCTGGCCTGGTGGCCCCTGGACCATGAGAGGCGGCCATGCCATCTTCTCTGTCTCTCCTGCTTGCGTGCTCCTCCTCAGAGTGCGGTCGGCTCCTCTGGGCTCGCTGCCCCGAGGACTGCCCTAGTCTGGGCCTTAGCTGGTGTGGCTGTGACTGGGCCTGTGTCCAGTCAGCAGGCAAGCAGGCAGGTCCTCCCCAGGCCCGACTCTCCTCCCCCAGGCCAGGTCAGTCATGAGGAGGGCAGCGGCTGGGACCAGCCCAGCCTCCAGGGGCAGAATGCAGCGATGAATGCAGCCATGCAGTGGGCCGCCTCCTCCTGGAAAAGGCAAGCTGGGGGGCTGGTCCCTGGGGACCGCAGCTGCACTGCCAGGGGCCTGGAGCTGGACGAGGGAGATAGTATGCTGGGCCCAGGCTCAGGGGACCCGAACCCTCCAGCTGGTGCTGGGAGTCGCAGCACAAAGGGGCCCCATGTGCCCCGGGGCCTCCCTGGGCCAGACAGGCCTGGCGGGCAGCCTCGCTCCAACTCGGCTCACCATCTCCAGCCCACAGAGGCCTGGGCGCTGGGGGACAAGAGGCTGCTGCTTCTCTCCCACTTCTGGGCTCCCCGGGACTGCGGGAATCCACTCGGGGCTCCCCGTGGGTACAAGAGATGTGGCGATGAGAGTAGGGGCTTGTTCTGGGGCTCGGGCTGGGATGGAGAATGGGCAGCAGCCTTGGACATCCAGCGTGGGGAGGATGGTGGGGAGACCGCTCTCGCAGGGCCTGAGAGTGCGCCCTGGGGGTCGTCCCATGGGAACCATCACCCCAGGCCTCCCTGCTGTGTTCTGTGGGTCCCGGGGGGCCTCTAGTCTCTCCTGCCTGTCATTACTCAGCCAGGATGTGGGGGCTGGTAGCCTGGGGCCTCCTGCCTGGTCCCCTCCTGGGCCCCAGCTGGGAGTTTCCTTGGCCTAAATCCTCTGGCCAGCTGGGCTGGATCCAGGCTGGATTAGCGCAGGGGATTGGGCAAAGGACAGGCGGGGCGGGCAGAGGCACTGCGGCTCCCCACCCCCAGACCCCGCGACACTTCTTCTTTGGGGCCCCTCCATGGCCTGGTGGGTGGGTGGGCTGGCCTAGGGCCGTCTGGGACAACAGGTGATCGTGGGGCCAATGCCAGAGGCATCTGGGAGCAGCCCTGCAGGGGCCTTGGGGGGCTCTGAGGGGGAGGAGGAAGAAGTGGAGGAGAGAAGGGGGTGTGGTGGAGCCCCTGCGCCGCCCACCACCGCCTGACCTGCTACTGAGGCAGAGTGGGGGCGCTGGCCCTCTCTGGGCTCCGTGAGCCCACCCCTGGCCATCGTCTGGGCATGTCTATCCCCTGGCCATCTACCCCCAGCAGGACGAAGGGAACGGTGGCCTGCCTGGTGGAAGCCCTTCTCTGGGTTGGAGGGAGCGTGGCCGTGTCCCCGAGTCGGCAGCTTGGCCCACTAGGTAAGGGGGCAGGCCTGCTGGCCATCAGGGGCCTCCCTGGCCAGAGCCCCGCCCAGCCACTGGGGCTGGAAGGGTGAGGACTGCTCCTGGAGGTGTGAACAGTCTGGGGGCTCCCACTCCACCCCTGTGCAAACCTGTAACTCTCACCCCCTTGAGTCTCCCTCTGGGGGTCATGGGGCTCCAACAGCATCTCCCCGTCTACCTTGTTGACTGCCCCCCCTCGGGGCCTGCAGGCTGAGCCCCAGGTGGCAGCAGGGAAGGTGGGGGTGCACGAGTTAGGGGCTGAGGAGCTGGGGGCAGGGCCCTGGAGGATATGCTTGCTGGGCACTCCGGTGGCTCTGAAGCTTTCACTGAGGGGTCCCTGGCACTTTGGGGGGTGACAGCACCTTCAGCCCAGGTGGAGTGGGGCTGGCGTGTGGTGCCAGACACGACGGCCCTTAGAGCCAGGGAGAGTGCGCCTCACCGCTATGAGACTCGGATGGGGAGAACAGAGCCTGTCCAGCAGGGGATGGGGGGTGGAGGGTCTGTCTTGGTGGGGCCAGCCCACAGAAGGCCCCATGCAGGGCTGTCCACCCCACTCAGTCTCTGCTCCAGCTGGCAGACAGGGCCTGGTCTAGGCACCACCTTCCAGAACCGTGTTCTAGGCCTCTGGGCCCTGTCCCCGTCCCCATCTCGTGTCTCACCCCTCCTACCTGCTACCTGCATCCCAGCAGCCCCACCAGTGTCCTCGCGTCCCACTGTCCACCGTGGAGCCCAGCCTCCCTGTGTGCCCTCCCCCCCGACACCTGTGTTCAGGGTCAGAGATTGGCTTCCTCCAAGAAGTCCTCACTGGTCGGTCCCCTCGGGCTGACACTGCCCATGGGCCTCCGCAAACCACCTGAGGGTCCCTCACTGGGTGGACCTCGTGGGGTTTAATTACTCAGTGCTTCAGCAGATGGCGCCTGTTGGGTCCCACGCTTTTTGTAAGCAGGCGTGAAGGGTCCAAAGGGGGCCAGGACTGACCTGTCCTGGAGCTCACAGCCTCCCCAACCCCAGGGAGCTGCTATCCTGGTCGGCAACCCCGTTCCCTGGGACCTGGGAGACATGCAAGGTGCAGACAGGAGGCCAAGTGGATGGAGGAGGGGAGAGAAGGAGAGGGGTGGGGTGGGGAGAGGCAGGTGGACCCCGTGGGGGAAGGGTTTGGATTCTGGAGCTCAGATCTGGCCCTGTACCATCCCAGATCTGCACCCTTGTGTTCACGGAGACTCCCTCCGTGGCCTCTGGGGTAGACGTGAGTGGTGCCATCCTTATTGCGCGTAGAAGGAGGGCGACTTTCCTGAAGATGCCACAGGAAGGCGGTGCAGGTGCTCAGGAGTGAGACCTTCTGCTCTCAGGAGTTCCTGTGGCTGGGCCAGCAGCCAGGCTGGGTGTCGTGGGGGTGGCTGCCTGCTGCCCGTGGGGCCTGCCCTGTGCCTGGCACAGAGGCTTGTTGCACAGCAGCGCAGCCACCGTGCCCCTGTGTCCTCTCGTGTGTCACAGCCTTTGGGGCAGGTCATGGTGGTCGCTGGGTCTGGTCCAGTTGGTGGAGGGTGGGATGGGCAGGCAGCTAGATGGGGACAGAGTTGGGGAGTAGCAGGGTCCTGTCTGGGACCTCGCCTGGCTGTCAGGCTCCAAGACCACAGAGAGGGGGGCAGGAGCCTGGCCAGGCAGAATTGGTCTGTTTCTCTGTGTGGACTCTGGCCCTTGAGCAGGGTACCAGATTGGATGTGCACCTGGGGGTCGCAGGCAGCCCTGGGGGTCTGAGTTCAGCCCCTGGTGGGTGGGCAGGTGGGTGTATGGGTGGTCTCTGCACCCCCTTGAGCACACGGAGGTGGGTGCTGGGAGTGGGCTGTGGTGAGTGGTGGGGCTGCCGCAGCGCTCACTGGCGCCCTGTCTGTCTGTCTGTCTCTGTGTTGGTCGTCCATCTGCGTGCCGCGGTCCAGTGGAGCGATGTATGAGTGCCATGCAGGCAGGGACGCAGATGGTGAAGCTCCGCGGCAGCTCCAAGGGTCTGGTCCGCTTCTACTTCCTGGACGAGCACCGCTCCTGCATCCGCTGGCGGCCGTCACGCAAGAACGAGAAGGCCAAGAGTGAGTGGGGCAGCCCTGGGGGGCGGGCCGGAGCCCCAGGCCAGCCCTCGGGGGACAGGGACCCCTCCCAGAGCAGCTGCTGGACAGCGAGAGGGCAGCCAGACCCTGAGCCCGACAAGTCTCCAGGTGGCTCTGGGCCTGGTGCACGGGTACAACTGGCCTTGGGGGTCTGCGGTGACCTCTGGACACGGGGTGGGGAGGGGGCAGGGCCCCATGCTTTTCGGGGCCCAGGCCCTGCTGCAGCCTGGCAGAGCCCTCTGGACTCAGAGGAGACCGAGCGGCCCCAGCGCCCAGCCCTGTTTGGGATGCTGGGATGGGCTGAGAGGCAAAAGGACCTTCAGTCTGGCTGGGAGACAAGACCTCCTGGACACAGAGAGAGACCATGTCGGCTCTGAGGGGAGGGCTTTGGTGCCAAGTGTTGGCTCGGGCAGCCTGGGGCGTGAGCAGCTGCGTGGGGGTGTGGAGGCTGCAGGGCCGCCTGGAGTGAGGACGGTCCTGAGCTGGGAGGATTTGTGCTGGGGACGCATGGCACAGTGTTGATCTGAGCGGGGCACTGCAGGGACGGGCTGGGGACTCTAGGGGTCAGGAAGGGGCATATAGAGTCCTCACGGGCGGGGAGAGGGGGTTTTACTGCTCCTCCTCTGGTTTGCCCACGGGAGAGACCCAGGTGTGCCAGGGCAGGGTCTCAGCCCAGTGGTTGCCAAGGGCACCACTGCTGCCACGGGGCCCTGGAGAGAGCCATAGTGTGGAGCCCCCCGGGAGAGCATCCTGGAGGAGGGGGCTGGGAGAGTGGAGCCCCTGTGCTCAGTCAGGTGTGCCTGCTCTGTGCCAGGCACTGTTCCCAGTGCTGGACATCCTGTGGGAACTTGGCTGACGAGAAGGGGGCCTTCAGGTGTGAGGTGGGCAACACCACCTTATGGTTGGAGAACCGCATTGTGCTGAGCAACAAGAAAAACACAGAGGGTGGTGAATAGAGGGGAGTGGGTGGATGGGGGTCATGGAGGCCCCTCTGGGGAAGGGGTGATGGGGCAGAGACCTGCAGGCTAGGACTGGAGGAGACCGAATTGGGTGTTTAGAGCTGACTCTGGCCTTGGAGGGGTCCCTGGGAGGGAGGAATGCACATGCACGCACACAGGGAGCTGGAGAAGGCAGGTGGGGCAGGGCCCCCAGGCAAGTGAGGAGTGAGGAGTGGGGCCACGCCTCACTGCAGAGGATGGGGAAGCCCCACCGTTATTGCACTGGACACAATGACGCCCAGAAGGGCGAAGAGCCTGGCACAGCGAGCAGCAGGAGGCAGGTGCCGGTGGTGTTGGGAGGCAGTGAGGGCCGGGTGTTGGGGCCCTGGCTGTGCCGAGCCGAGAGTGCCTGGCTCCCAGAGGGATGCCAGCCACCTGTGCCCTGCCTGTCTGTGAGCGGACCCTGCCATGTGCGAGGAACAGACCCTAAATATGCTCGTGTGAGCTCATCTACACGAGGTAATTCAGCTTTTGAACGGAGGCTCCGAGGAGCCCCGGGTGCTGCGGCCAGTAATGAAATCCTTGATGGAACCTGAGCTGGCGCACGCTGAGCAGACCCTGCTGCACCCCAGTCCCCCACCTGCTGGTGCCAGGGCTGGTGCCCCTCCTGCGGAGACGGCCGCAGGATCGCGCTGTGGCGGCCAGCAATTGCCTTCTCAGGATGGGGAGATGTGCTGGCCGGAGCTTGACTGGTGGAATTGGCTTGTCCAGGCTGCCTCACTCTGCAGCCTCGGCCAGAGGCAGAAGCCAGACCCCAGGGTTGCTAAGTGGGGGAGGTGGCCCTCTTCCTCTTGGGGGTGTGTGCCTTTCTCACACCCAAAGGAAAGGGGGCGCAGGGTCGGGGTCAGAGCAGAGTGGGGAGAGGCAGGCTCACCAGCCCCAGCACATTTGCATTTTCCTTCTTCCACCCTGGGGGTCCCTTGAAATGCGCCCCACCCCTCACTGTCCAACCTCAGATGGGAAGGGAACCCCGAAAGGGCACCAGCCTTGCTGCTCATGGGCTGAGTGGGGCAGCGTCCGTCTGTGCAGAGCCGTTGCTGTGAGCGTCTCCAGGGGCGTGGGGATGCCTGGCCCGGGGGTGGGGGCGGGCTGTGACTGGTAACGCCCCCCACCTTCCGCCGCAGTCTCCATCGACTCCATCCAGGAGGTGAGCGAGGGCCGGCAGTCTGAGATCTTCCAGCGATACCCCAACGGTAGCTTTGACCCCAACTGCTGCTTCAGCATCTACCATGGCAGCCACCGCGAGTCGCTGGACCTGGTCTTGCCCAGCGGTGACGAGGCGCGCACCTGGGTCACTGGCTTGCGCTACCTCATGGCTGGCATCAGCGACGAGGACAGCCTAGCCCGCCGCCAGCGCACCAGGGACCAATATCCTTGGGCTCGGGGGGCAGACCCTGGGACGGACCCCTCAACTGTCCACCCTGGGTGGGGCTCCCCTGCCCCTGGCTGGGTCACATGTTTGGGTGAGGGGAGAAGGGAAGGGGTGCGTGGGCTGGGGTCCCCCACTCCTTCCTGCCTTGGGCAAGGGGCAGGCCTGGCTGGCCCTGCTGGACCCACGTTGGCCCCTAACTTGACCCCAAAGTGGCTGAAGCAGACGTTCGCCGAGGCCGACAAGAACGGCGACGGCAGCCTGAGCCTCGGTGAGGTCCTGCAGCTGCTGCACAAACTGAACGTGAACCTGCCCCGGCACCGGGTGAAGCAGATGTTCAAGGTGAGAGTCCCCGCTGGGGCTCGAGCCCCGCAGGCGCGGCACCCCTAGGCCCGTGGGGGGCGGTTGGGCGGATGCCTCCAGCTGCTCCCTCTTTCCAGCCGTGCCAGCACCACGCAGCAGCTCCCGGGGCCTCCCCAGGCAGGCGGATGGAGCATTTGGGGCGGACACCGGGTTAGTGAGGGAACCACCCAAAGGAGGCTGCACCCCCTTTTCCACCCTTCCCCACGGCTCTCCAGCCTTAATGGGGCGCACCGGCCCTGGCGGGGTCCCTGGTGGGGTCCCGGGCGCACACATGCCCGTCTTGCCCAGAGGGTGCATGAGAGGCCCAGAGTCCTGATTACCTGCCCTACGTGGCCTCCGGGCCCCCCGTAACCCTGGTATTAGAAGTTATGAAAATGCTCGCTTCAGCGAAGCGGCGGCCTTTATTGTCTGTAATTAGTTTTTCTCTTTCCGGAACCCCTGCTTGGCCGGGGGGAGGAACACGGCGTCAGCAGGTCCTGATACAGGTGGGGATGGGTGAGTGGGCAAACCTGGCCCTTGGGCCTCGTTGTCTTGCTGCAGCCAGGAAAGGGGGTTCTCTGAGCTTGAGCCAGGCCTGCACCCCGACACGCACGCACACACACGCAGGTGACCACTCCACCAGGCACGGCCCCTGGCGGCTCCCGACTGTGTTTCATGATAGACAGGGTTGTGCCCGGCTGGAGCGCAGGGAGCCAGCTGGCTCAGAGCGTGTGGGTCTGTACATGAATGAGGGGAGCTAGCAGGATGCTCTCAGACTGCTGGCCGAGGACTAGGGGAGCTCACAGGGCCCTTCCTGAAGGCCCTGGCAGGGCAGAGCCTGCCTGGGCAGTGGGGACCTGGCAGACGGCTCAGGCCTGCAGATCAGCCCAAGGTGTCCCTGCCTGCCCCATCTCCAGGGGCAGCTCTGGGGTCAGCAGGCCCTTCCAGAATGGTGAGGCAGTGCCAGGGGCCGGGAAATAGTCTGGTTTAGGACGCAGGGTCCAGATTGGCCTCTGAGGCAGGAAGAGAGAGGAGCGCCCCTCATGGAAGGGGGTGGGAGTGCCTGCAGGCTCCTGGGTCCTGAAGGTCCAAAGTCCTGCTTTAACATGCTTCCCGCTGGGAGCTCTGGGAAGCCCACACCCACCTGCTCCTCCTGGAAGGACTTTGGGCCTCTCATGCGCCCTCCGGGCACATGAGGGGCTCCCTGAGGAGCCCTGTGTCCAGGCCCAGGCCCAGGCCTGGCCATGTCCGGGCTCCGACCAGATCACCTTGAGGAAGCCCGGGGCAGTGGGGAGAGATCCTGCAGCCTGAGGCTGACGGGTGGGGCAGGCTCCGGGCTGGATCTGGAGAGAAGTGAGCAGGGGGCTGTTGGCCGGGAGCCGCGGACCCCAGACCCTGGGCAGCTCAGACCCAAGCGGCCGCTGTCCACAGTGGTTGGGCCGTCAGAGACAGCTCTGGGCCTGAGCTCCTGGGCCTCCCTGCCCATCTGCACAGCGCCCTATGCTGGCACTCCGGAGCCCAGGGCGGGGCTGACCTCCAGCCAGGCAGAGCAGCTCTGATAATTAGCATCAATTTGGCTGTGGAGAAATCTCAATATTGTTTCCACCACCTGCAATTGTCTAATCAAGAGAGAGATCTGTGTGGCAGGTAAAGAGTGGTTTGAACATAATTTCATTAAGTCTAAGATGACAGTAGAATGTAGGCCAGGCCCAGTGTGGCCCTCAGGCTTCATTGCCTAGTAAGCACCCTGGGCCAGCGCCGTGGCCTGGCTCAGCAGAGGAGTCCAGGGCGGGGCGTGCGTTCAGCCGCTGCTGTTTCCATTTGTGGAAGGAAAAGCAGGCGCTCGACCACCTCAGGAGGCATTTCTGGGGCTGGGGGTTAGGGGTCAGATCCATCCTTTCGGGTTGCCTGAGAACCCTGTCGTCATAAAGCATTTCATTCGGGTGGTGAATGGGCAGCTACCCTGCCCTGGATTCCTGGCTGTGCCGCCCAGTAGAGCCCGGTGGAGGCCAGATCACCCTGTGGGCTGGACGCTCGACAGAATGGGGAGCTCTGTCCGGCTCCAGCCATGCCGCCTGGGGGGGCTACCACCCAGGCTCTGTCCCCAGGGGCCTTTTGACTTGCAACACATGCCCTGGCCCAGTCTGTCCAGCCAGCTCTCAGAAGCAGAGCTGCCCCCTGAGACAGCACCAGATACACCGGGGTCTTCATCTGGCACCTGCTGGGCCCCTCACACCAAGCTGGCCACCTCTGAGGCTTGGCTTGGGCACTCGGGTCCTGGAGTGAGACACTGGGGCCCCGCTGGGTGCCCATCTCCATGCCAAGCCACAGTGCCCGGGGAAGGCAGCAGCCAGGAGCACGGTCAGGGTCCAGCCTTCCCGGGATCCCTACTCTCAGTGGGGACAGGGACGTGGGGGTGGTTCTGCCCACCTGGCTCACTGGTGATGCTTCTGGTTCAGAGGGGGCCTTAGGGACCTGGCACCCACCCCCAGCCACCGCAGTCTGTGTGGCCATAGAAGAAACACTCTCCAGGCGGCTGGCAGGTCCAGCGAGCACTGCTATCCATGGTGCTGACCCAGCGTCTGCCCCTGCCAGCCTGTCACCTCTAAGCACCCCCACCCCACTGGGCCAAAAACCCGTCTTTAGCACTCAGAGACTTGAGCAGCACCTCCTACAGAGCCTTTCTTGCCCCTTTGCGGGGACCCCACGGCTTTGTAGCACCTCAGACTTCCTCTGGGCTGCCTTACTCCAGTCGCTGGGTGCTCTTGTCCTCTGGGTCTGGCCCTGGCCCTGGCCCTCAGCGTCCCCAGGCTCTGACACCTCAGGGGATGCTCCCTGAGCCAGTGGATTTATGAAGGAGTCCTTTGGGGTCCCAGTGGGTTTGCCTCACGAGTGTTGTGTGAGCCGCTCTGTCTGCAAAGGAAGACAGTGGCTGAGCCCAGGGTCCTCTCATCGGTGCTGTGGAGGGAGAGCCAAGATGCTGCTGCGCCTCCTGAGGACTTGTGCTCTTCTGAGCAATGGGCAACCGATTGTAATTATAGGCTCACAGCTCAGAGTGGGCACTAACTCCAGGGAGGGGTGTTGACAACAGTGTGGGGTGTGGTTGACTCCCAGTGTGGGGTGTTGGCTCCCAGGGTGAAGTGTTGACTCCCAGGGTGGCATGTTGGCTCCAGGATGGGGCATTGACTCCCAGGATGGGGTGTTGGCTCCCAGGGTGGGTGTTGGCTCCCAGGGTGGGGTGTTGGCTCCCAGGGTGGGTGTTGGCTCCAGGATGGTGCATTGACTCCCAGGGTGTAATGTTGGCTCCAGGATGGGGCGTTGGCTCCCAGGCTGGGGCGCTGGCTCCCAGGGTGGGGTTTTGGCTCCCAGGGTGTGATGTTGGCTCCAGGATGGTGCATTGACTCCCAGGGTGTGATGTTGGCTCCATGATGGGGCATT